GTCTTCGGTGGACACGAGAGCGAAATTTGCAAACAGCATCGCACGACGGTTTGAACAGATCCCAGCGATGGCCACTGATGTTAAAACCGAGTGGCAGCTCTTTAGGAGCGGCCATGCTCGATGCAACCGCCGAATGGTGGGGTTTCAAACGGGTTGACCTACCGTCCGGTGGTCAGAAACGAAATTTCTTCTAGATGCGAGAGGTACAACTGGCAGATAATGAGAAGAAAACAGCATCGTAGAAAGAGTTTAGAAGCAAAGAGCCCTCAAACTCGCATTCTGTGTACAGAAGAGTACAAGACGGCAGCAAAAGCGAAGCAGTCTAAGAGATCTGAGGGAAAAGTCTGGACGCCCTCTTACCAAAGATGAAGACATCCTTCTTCAATGGAGAAAGTATTTTGAGGATCCCTTTAACCACCTGCAGCCTCAGGATGACTCTCCTGTAAGGCAACAGGAAACGGATATTACTATTTGTGTAAATGAAATAATACAAGCTGCGAAAACCTTGACAAGTGGAAAGACCGTTTCAATCGATGATATCGTCCCTGAGATTCTTGCAGCATTAGGCAAACAAGGCAAGTGTTGGCTTACGCGAGCCTGTCAAACAACAACGGCTACGGAAAGACACCAACGAATTGGAGAACTCGGGTTATAGGGTTTCTGTTTGGGAAGGGAGACCATAGATAGTTCTTCAATTATTGGGGCATTACCTCACTGAACCTTTATGGTAGACTCTTCGAAAAGGTGCTAGGAATGAGGTGCTGAGGAATGACTGACCCAAAACTGCGGAAAATGCAGTGCAGTTATATATCTGGCTGAAGCACCTCTGAATACATATGCATTTTGTGACAAATTTTTTAGAAATTGTACGATTGAACACACGGTTTACAAGCGCATTGTAGATCTGCTTTGTATAGCCTTTGTGCACAGCTGCTGCTTCTACAGATTGAGAATTTACAACTGCATTGATTTGGGCACATGTTTGGAATGCCTCCAGAAAGAAACGCGAAGCAATTACTACTTGTCTGACCGACCGACAGAAGACCACTGAGATGGCCAAGATTAACCTTAGGCAAGTGTATTGAAAGACTCTGCCGAAAAGTCAGATTTTCTTCTGCAG